TGTTCCAGTGGCTCCCTGTTTCCATTGCCTGTGGCCGGTTGGCTCAACTGGGTAGAAAATACAAGACCGAGATCGTGGTTTGAGCTTACACACACCAGTTAGTTATGCCCTGTCTGTGGACTACAGAATGATCCCCTAATTCCAGCTGTCCTTGTCACAAATGTAGTTCATGACAAAGGTGATCTGAACACTGTGAGGAAAGTAACACTCGCCTGACCCCCAAATCCAAAGCTCTCCTTTATTGAAAGATAGTAGATCAAAGGTATTCCTTGAGCCTACAAAAGGCAGCAAAATCTTTCGTTTTTACATCAGGAATAGAAAAATACATTACTACCTACAGATATTATGAATCCTCCATTAAAAAATGTATTTCATTCAAAGGCAATTACTAAAGAAATAAGCATGGAAAACAGGAGAAAAGGAAGGAGAGGGGGAGAGAGGGAAAGAAGAAACAAGAAAAGAGGGGTAAATGAGGTAGGTCTCATACAAAGGAAAATAATTTCCTTTCTAGTTTACTAGAAAAAAATAGGTAACTTTTTACTTATTTCCGCAAATAGAACTGTAATAACACTTACCTATGCAGTGTGAGTATAAAATTCCTTTACAAAGTCGGGCTGTTCTGAACCCTCTCAGGGTTTAGCGAGCTCTTCGGGGCTGTACATAACTCTCAGCCTGCTGGGTGCCTTCAGCTTGGGACCAACTAAGCCCTTGCAAACGGCAGCCTTCAATCCTAGGCTTTTATGAACCCAAATATTTAATCTAATCTTATATGGAAAGTTAAATACCAACTGGCAGTTGAGAATTACCCCTGGTGCCTCATAGGGTGTGCCCGTGTGGAGTCTGGCTTGGGCTGAGTGGCACAAGTTCTCCCCGTGGGCTCTGTGATGCCAGCTCCAGCCAGGGCAGTGCCTGGCACAATGGGTGTTTCTCCCTAGGAACAGTTCTCCCAGCAGGGCAGCTTCGGCCGACAGCACAATTCCCTGCCAGAACAGATGCAGAGGGACAGAGTCCCCAGGAGATGAAACGAACGCAGCCTTCACTGGGTGGCCAGTGTGTGGAGACTAGAAGGCTGGTATGATCCCGGGCACGTAGCTCTGTTCTGAAGGCCTCCTCTTAGCTAGATTTTGCTTAAATACCCTTCCCTGAGACACTTTCCAAATGACTTTATAACAACATTGTTGTCTTGTAAAACAGAAACTAGCCACAAGGGTATTATCTGGAACAGAAGGAAGCAAGTCTGACAAAGGGCTACATAAACTATTCTCCAAAAGATCCTTCCAACATGCTGAAGTCCTTGGAATTGGGTAGAGCGAGACTCACAACCCAAAGTAGAAGGTTCTGTGAACTTGATAGCCAAGAAATCCGGACACAGGGAGGTCAAGCGGTTGGGAAGACATAGAGAGGGAGCCAGGATTTGAATCCAGTCTGAACGAATTTCAGTCAACACTATCATTTGAGGGTCCTGCAGCTGCCCATTTTTGTATTGTAGCTGTGTAAAAGAGGAAGGTTAACTTTGTTTTATAGCTGGATCTTCTTATTAATGGTGCCCTGAACGATATGGTTAGAAGTACACTGGGTAACAGAAAGAATGAAGATGGCTAAAATGAAAACAGTCTGCAAATTACCATGAAGTTAGCATATTCATTATGTTATACAAAAATACAAAGATCTCTGTAACTCTGCAGCAGTGTCTCAATACACCACCTGTCCTTATGGATTGCTTTTACTGAACAAGACAAGGAAAACCCAACCGGAAAGGAATAGTTTGATAGTCTAATGGAGCTGACGAAACCTCCGTGGAAGGGGAGACATTCTAATGAGAACTCCACTGGGTGATTTTGCCATCTGCTGGTGGAAACAGGGAATCTTCCCCAGTCCTGAAGCAGACTCCTTTCATTTCACTCTTGAATTCCCATTGTGCCAAGGTGAGAAGAATAAAAATTGTGCAAGTCTATACTTTGGCAACTAAACACAGGACTGGAGCTTGGCTTTGGAGACTGACCAACAGGCCAGTAAATTACTTAGCATACCTGGCTTTGGATTGTTCATCAGTAAGAAGGAGATAGTAAGAGTTCCTACCTCATTTAGGTTGTCACAGAAACTAAACGAGGTTATGGATACACAGCACTTAGAACCAAACATGGCACATGATAAAATAGTAAGTGCCCTATACCTACTAGCTGTTGCTATTTTTTTTTAATATTGCCAGAGTGCATGTGCACTCATCAGAGACCGAGATTTACAGAGAGAAAGCTCCGCCCACATCCCCATGGTGGGGGTGTAGTCATGCTGCAATCCTCTTTCCTTCATCTTTCCATCCTGTCAGGATTTGGGGAATGCGTGCACAAATTCCTGGCATGTGTTTCAAACCACTGGGACCAGGATGCAAACCATGGTCAGTCATGTGGAATCCAGCTCCGTAATACATTAGGCTATAGGGCCTATTATTTTTAAGAGAACTAGGCAAGAAGACAGGCCTAAGAAAAGTGGAGCTTCACTGGGATGAGAATCTGGAATAAATGGAGACTTGAAGAAATGAATGCAGAAACAGAGTGTAAATATGACCCAGGTATCAGTTACAGGCTGGAGAAGGAAGTGAAAGGGGGAGAGAGTTGTTTACTCTTTCTCTCTAACAGGCTTCAGGCTCTGTGATCTCTGCAGCAGGCTCTCAATAGATTCTACATCATCTCCGGTAAAAGAATAAAACGGTATCTGCCAGAAAACAAGGTACGTGAAAGCAATGTTCCCTTTGAAAATCAAATTGCAGCCCACGTCTTTACAAAGCTTTTCTGCCTACATATGGCATGTGTTTTTAAAACCCGGGGAGCTGAGTCTGCTTTTGGATTTAAAACGAGATGTTATTCAATCTGACATCCCGCGCTAACAAAAAAAAACAGAATTCTTTCAATAGAGAAGAACTGTAGGAGACGTTGTTTTTAATTGAATTTGCCTTTCAAGCTACCCGTAACTGTTTCTAGGGCACCTCTGTGGGTACAAACCCACAGGCTAACAAGACGCCTTAAATAGAACATGGCTGATAATGACAAACTATGGGAAACGCAGAGAGTTGATAATTTCCTTTGGAGATCTTCAAATCAGTTAGTGCCTCCACCTCAAACCTATCCTATCCCACATAGGCTCTGACTATCAACTTTCTGTACGGTGGACGAGGATGTTCACCTCATGGCCACACCTCCATTTCTGCCTCCCGTCAAGATTTTGAGAATGCACATACAGGCACCCTAGGTGTTTCTCAAGCCACAGGGACCAGGATTTGAACTGTTCTGCTCTGTGGTATCTGGATCTCTATGCACAGTACTTAACCTATGTGCTATGAGGCTGGCCCCCGAGTGTGCATTTTTATAGATATGTCTATATAGCCTTTTGCCATAGGGTAAATGTACTCACCTTATATATATATATATACATATACATATACATGAAGAAATTTTTGCTAGGGCACATGCACTTGCTAGAGAGACAGAAGGACAAAAAGCAAGAAATTACTCCCCTGGGGATAGCCACACCGTGATCACTTCTCCATTCTCCTCTCAGGATTTTGGCATGCATGCACATGTGTCAAGCGTGAGTCTCAAGCTGCTGGTTCCAGGACTCGAACTACAGTCAATTATGTGGGAGTCCAGTGTCTTAACCACTATGCCACTGCTGGCCCCAATGTATATTCTTTATAAATGCCCACAAATAGTTTAAACAACCAGCCAAGTGCTAAGTCTCCAAAGTCTTACCACATTTTGAAATACTGACTTTATATAGATTAGATTCTACAACCATAATGCAATTAAATTATAAATAAAGATAAAAATACTAGTTAATGTACTTTGCTATATCTTAAAACCAAAAAAAAAAAAATACACCACCATTTATTTCATGGTTAAAGAGGAAACATTGTAGAGATATTAAGATATTAAATACCATAGGAAATGCTGTAAAGAACACCTTTGAGATGCAGACAAAGTGGGTCTTAAAACAATTTATAGCATAAATACATATATTAAAAAGAAAAATGATAGGTGACGAGCAGATGGCATAATGGTTACATTGCTGGATTCCCATGTTGTCAACAGTGGTTCAAGTCCCAGACCTGGTGGATTAAAACTCACACCAAGTGCATGTGTGTTCATGCCCAAGATGCTGAGAGGAGAATGGAGGAAAAGGGATTGCAGCATAGCCATCCCCCCTGGGGGGTGATTTCTTACTTTCTGTCTCTCCAGTGAGTGCATGTGCCCTAGAAAAATCTCTCTAAAAAAAAAAGATAGAAAGCATGTTTAATTTAACTCAAAAACAAAGACCCAGCTACAGTGGTGCACTGGTCATATTGATGCTTGGAAGACTGAAAGGCCACATGGGAGATCTAGGTTCAATTCCTGGACCAACCTGAATATGCTGGATATGACTGCACACCTATGATCCTCATTAATTGGGAGAGTGGTGCAGTAGGATTGTGACACATGAGGACCCTACCAAAAATGCCTCTCTCTCTCTCTCAAAAAGGAAAAACAAAAACAACTGTGGGATCTAGCCACCTTAACTACCATGCCAAGGGCTGGTCCAACATCTATCTTTATTAATTAAAAAGTTTTAGTTTAGGGGCCCACACCTTCAAACTTCTTAAGGAGCTTGTTGAAGTCTGCAGAAGCTTTTGCTAAAGCCCTCTCTGTGAAGTTTGTTGGGGATTCTTTTTTTTCCCTCCTGCAGTTTCCTTCTCTCTTGTCTCTTCTTCAGCTATGTGTTCCTGTTCCAGCTCCTACAATTCACCATTAGTCAGTTCTTTAGGAGCCACCTCTAGGAGCGCCTCAGTGTCACCCTCAGCCCCCACAGGTTCAAGTTCTCCACCATCCCCACCACTGACTTGTCGATTTTTGCAACCTCCTCATCTTTGGCAAATCTGTTGAAGTCAGGCATGAGCCTGAGCGTCTTCTTCCAGATGACTCTCATACACTCAGTGCCATTGCCCCAGCCCACGCACGGCTCTCGTTGCAGCGCTAGATGTGATTTTTTTTCAGAGTTGCACCAGTGTTTTCCTCAGTTGCATCAATATCCTGAGCAAAGATTCTCCTTGGATATCAGGCCTTAAACGCTGCTGTCACTCCTTAAGTCTTCAGTCATATCAAAAAAGTGGTGTTTGGAGGAGGTGTTTTTATCCCACTTTGATACAGTGGGATAAAGATCACCAATAAAAGAACGATAAGCAGGAGCATTTCAACAGCAAACAAAATCCTGAGAGAGATGTTATTCTCCAAACAGCTCTTCTCTATTTCACTGGCATGACAATTCAGGAGGGCATCCTGGACGAGAGTCGGGTCATCCCTTATTTTTCACTGCTCCTATAGTCCATGGGCTGTGTGTGCTTATTGATATTCCCCATGGAGGAATCTCCCTGAGCCAAAAGGAATTCAAATAGTGGCCTGCAACATTGCCTCCTTACAAGACTGCTATCCTGTTCTTAATAGCCCTGAAACCCGGCATAGACTTGGCCTCTGGGTGGGTGGAAGTCCTTTCAGGCACCTGTTTCCAACACAGGGATGTTTTATCCATATTGAAGATTTGCTTTGAGAAGTAATTTTCTTCCACAATCAGCTTATCTAGAGTTTTCAAAAATTCTTCAGCTGCCTCTCCATCAGCACTCACTCTCACATTATGGAATGAATAACAATTCTCGAATCGTTTAAACCACCCAGAGATAGCAGTAAATTCAGTAGTGCGCTTGGGTCCTTTCCTTTCAATATCATAAACCCTTGGCTTTGACTGTGACTGCCACGGGTATTAAGAGGGATACACTTCTACGCCTGGTCTTCAACGCAGATCATTAGACGTTTCCCCAGATACGAGACAGACCCTTCTTGAATTACGTCAGTTTCATTACCTTCAATGAAGCAGGTCCTTCTCCAGCTTTGTCACTTTGTTTTTGTCCTTTACAACTG